CACACACACAAACACACACGGCTGCAATCCTAAGAATCCACCCAAACAGCATACTTTGAGGTACGAAAAACAACTTATTTCCGTCCGACCGCTGCGTGATTCTCCAGAGCAGGTCAACAACACTGGCCGGGTGTTCGATTCCCAGCCTTCTGATAATATTACATTAAAGGAATAGTTGGACGCTCTGGGACTTTATTTTAATTTTAAATCACTGAGCCGGTTGGCGAATTCCTTTTCCCTTTGGACAGAGCCAGGCTAGCTGTTTCCCCCTGTTTCCAGTCTTTATGCTAAGCTAAGCCTATTCTGGCCTTTGTTTTATTGTTAGCGTACAGACATGTACAGGTGTCTTGGCAAGGAAGCGAATACTCTTATTTCCCAAAATGTCTAACTAATCCCGGGTTTTATTCTGTGATCAATCTCTGGCAGGATCAATCTCAATCTCCAGGATTAATAAATCTTATCTTATCTAAGATCTGGATGGTGTAAAACCAAACGTGAGTAATGCTGAATTAAACAGGCCGTGTTTCTGTAAACAAGCATCACTTCCTGTGTGACTGGAGCTACTTGCTGCTGTGTTGTTGTTCTCACAGTTACTCACCGTGGGGACGTATTCAGAGGGAAACTTGTTGGTGGTGTAGGAGATGAGGAGGCAAGTCTTTCCCACCGCACCGTCACCCACCACCACACACTTTATAGTCTGCATCTGAGGAGGAAGGAAGGAAGGAAAGGAAAGGAGAGAGGAGTGGCAGGCAGCGGACCGTTAAGACTTCTGAACTTTATATCCGAAAAGATTTAATAGAGACTAAATACACTGAATCATGTAAACGAGTGTATTATAACTCACTTATTTAGATAGTTTGAGTCCAAATAATACACAAAAAGAAAAAACACATCTACAACACTATTTGTACAAATGATTAAAAGGTGAGGCAACACAAAAACCTGCATTTCACTCTGAAAAGGGAAAAATATTTCAAATGTTTGTCTCTGTGAATCTAAAAACAATATGAATACATCAAGAATACAAAGACATCAGACAAATTAAATATTCAGATTCAGATGTTTTTTGGTAGTTTGAGAGACTAAATAAGTAAAGTGCAACATACAGCAGGTTTTATATATATATATTTTCAGACATTTTCCACTTTAAATCAACACAGTCCTGCAACTTATAGATGCATCGTTGTTTTATGATTAAAAGTAAGTATTTTAAACTTTGCACTAAAGTGGAGCTGAAATAATTAGTTGATAAATTGACAGACGAACTACTTTGTATTATTTTAAGTTCATTTTTAAGCAAACACGGCAAAAAATGTCCCGCTTCAGGTTTCTTGAATGTGAATATCTGCCTGTTTTTGTTGTTTTCTTTCATATTAATTAATCTTTTGGAGTCTTGGTTGAGCAAAATATGTAATTTATAGGAATAATACAGTCGAGCAGGTATAAAAACAGCCTAAACAGACAAAGTGTTTATGAGTAACTGAGGATAACTAACTGTAAACAGCAGCCGGTCTGCATCAGTGATAACTGTGTAACGCAGTGTTCTCTACAGGCTGGAGATCCTGTGACCGTCCAGCCCGCCGAGCAGCTCACATACCGGGCTGGGCGCTTCATTAAGGGGGACAATGGTGAAAGGTTATGGAGCCTCCGCTCCATCACTGGCTCTTTGTTTTGGGGCCTTTTGGCAGCACTCTGCTGGTTACTGAGGGAGAAGCTAACTGGTCCTCTGCAGACACGGTGACACCGCTTCAGTTTGCGGAATTCCACAAACACACGCAGACAATTGTGGGAACAAGTATTTAAAAAGTATTTTAAATGTACTATTGTTTTTATTCTACACACTGTTAAGATGCATCTTCTGGTTTTGGAGACGCAGCAACTGATTACTTTCATTACTGTTTATTTATTTTAATTAACAAACTACTCTTTAACTCTATGACGTGTCATCTTTTACAGAAGCACTCGTTAAGTCACAACTAAACAAAAGATTAGTTGAAGCATTGATTAGTAAACAGATGACAAACAATCATCCGTCCAAGTAATCAAACAAGGAAAAAAGACAAATATTTGACGATTTCAGTTCCTCAAATGTGAGGATTTAATCATTTTCTCTGTATCTATCTGAACAGCAAATATGTTTAGTAGATATATGACATCCAATGATATAAAACTATCTAATTAATTACGTTGAGACGCTGTAACCAGAGGATGTTAGCAATAAAACAAATATTAATTAGTTTCTGTTCATCAACTTCAGCTCAAAACCAATTTTCCTGCTAAAAGCATTGATTATAAAACAGAAAGTGTTCATAAAATGAATCAAAAGCAAATGTTATGTCCTTTTAATGTAAATATAATGATTAAATCAACATTTAAATAAGGTAACAAACTACATAAATGCCGTCATTGCTTCAACAATGCTGCCTGTTGATAACTAAGAAAGACAGAACGTTATCAGACCAATAAAACCAACTTAACTTTACGTTTTTGAGCTTTAAGTGATCATTTCTCTCAAGTTAGCTTCTGTTTTGCTGACTTTTCAGTCACTTCCGCATAGAAAACAAAGGCAATAACTCACAAAAAAACGATTATCGTCTTTATCGAAGGCTAGCAGTTTGTTTTCACACAGTTAAAGTTATGAAACAACGACGTTCTTACTCGTTGATTGCGTTTATAAGCTACTAAATGTTGAAAAGTTTACTCCTGCGAAGCTAGCAGTTAGCTAATAAAGGAAACTTGTTTGTTTTGACAGCTGTTAACCGAGTTAGCTGTCAGCAGGCTAACGGTCATAGATTTTCACAATAAAAGAAGAGTCACTCTGAAGTAAATAGCCGTGTCTCTGTTGACTTGTCAGTATGTTTTCGTCAGTTAATGACAGTTAAAGACAGTGACAGCTAACTTTACTACCTTGTCTCTTCTCAGGTGGAGTGCTGGTACCGTCGTTCCCCTCCCAACACAGTGCGGAAACCGGAAATAGGAGTTTTGGTGCCTTCTTCTCCTTCTTCTTCTTCTTCTTCTTTTTTGAGGTTTATTGGCGGTTGACAAAACAATGAATTGGCGCATTACCGCCACCAACTGGTATGGAGTGTGGATCAGGATGTCTAGTACTTATAGTAAAAATAAAATAAAATAAAATAAAATAAAATAAAATAAAATAAAATAAAATAAAATAAAATAAAATAAAATAAAATAAAATAAAATGAAATGAAATAAAATATAGAAAGATAAACATTTTTACCATACATATAATAAAGGGATTACAACTGTACATTTATACCAATTAATCGTTTGACTTTTAAAAATGCTTTGAACAAAATTAAATCTTAAAAGTATTTGTCTGAAATAATTATTAATTTACAAATAATTAATTATTTTACAATTAATTATACACACACGTGCATTTTTTCATTTGAGTTTAGTATATGTCACTGTTTCTCAGTGACCACCAGAGGGAGGTGAAGTACAAACTGTTTGGGGTTTAAAGCATTTCATACAGTGAAGAGCAATTTTAGATGCTTTTACACAACCTAAGATAAGATAAGATAAGATAAGATAAGATAACTTTATTATAACTTTATTAATCCTGAATGAAATGCTTGTGCCAGAGATTGCTTAAAAATGACTCCAACATAAGAATAAAACAATAAAAAAGATACTAATATACTAATACTAATACTAATATTAATACGAATAGCAATAAGATAAATCTAGTTGAATAAGGAAACTAAAGTCAATTACAGCAACATAAGAAGATTAACGACATAAAGCGTAAAAGAAGTAATACCAACACCAGCGGCAGTAACATGACATGTATTTGTGTGTGTTTGCACAGAGTTCACATACTTTAAATGTGTGTGTACTCTATGTGTCAACTCCACACACTCACTTAAACATTGTTCCGGTCATATTTGGAAAATGTGGGATCTTGACTGAAATTCAATATATATTATTCACTATCGAATATTGCTTTGCTGCTTTTGAGCTGATAAATGGTATGAATTTCACTTATGATGAGCTGTATTTCAGTTTGACACCCGCCACACATCCCTGTGAATAGATGTCTGGTTCACATTTCTTCCTTATTTAATTTTCTATGCATCTGATAAAGAATCGTGTATATAAAAGAAATACAAATATCTTGAGAAGTGAGTATTTAGCATCAGAGTTCATCAACAGGGAATCAATGGATCAATAAGAGAGGCCAGGACAGAGTAAACCTCCTGTACAATAATGTCTTTAATGGGTGTTTGTTTTGTCTGTCAGTGCTGTGTTGCTGGTGGAGGGGGAGCTCGTTGAAGTAAAGCCCAGTCGACCTTCAGTGGTAATGCAGCAGAAAATTAGGTAATTACAATGCGAGGCACTTCTCTATTACCCTTTTCCTCCGGAAGGCTTCTCTCGTTCTCTCACTTCACAAGCATTTCATCGCACTTTGATCTCTACTCACTTGCTCTTTTTCTTCTTCTGCTCTTTGTTGCTGCTTCCTGGTTTCTCTCTTCCCTCTCTCACCTCCTCTTCATCATTCCCTCTCTCCCTCTCTCTCTCTCTCTCTCTCTATATATATATATACATATATATATATATATATATATATATATATATATATGTATGTGTGTGTGTGTCTATCAGTCACTCACCCGTGGCTAACCGGGAGGATGGATGTCAAGGACGTTGTGCTGCTTGTCTCCCAAAAATAATCCCATTAAACTCAGGAATTTAATTATAGATTATCTCACACGCTCACACTCTCACACTCTCACACTCTCTCTCACACACACACACACACACATACACACACCCACACACACACTGGTCTCACCCTGTTGCCCTGTTGCCCTGTCAATGTGTATCAGTGTCACCCTCCAGTCGGCATTAACAGCTCCACCGGCCTGTTTCTAGAGCAGGAAGGACGCAGCACAACATGAACAAAGGAAGCAAAACAAATCACCACAGCACAGAACTCGACCGAACCGGGACGAATGTGCAGGAATTTTTGAGCACACTGACCAGAAATTTGTTGTTTTTGTATATATATTTTTTTTAATGTCGCATTTTATCGTCAATAAATCATTGTAGTAAATTTATGACAGCAAGTTATAATTGATATGACATAATATGAATTATATTATTACAGCTACATTGAACCAAAGAGACGTTTTAAACACACAGCACCTGCTTTCAAAGGGATTTCTGCTGCTGCATTGTTGTCAGTGTTTAAATGCTCACACACACACACACACACACACACACACACACACACACACACACACAGAGCTTCATCATGTCTGAGTGTGGAGGAGAAGGATGGATTATGTAACTGTATATACGAGCGACTGAAGCCCACTGCAGCACCAGAGAAGAAGAACAGGGAGACACACACATAGAGTGAGAACCGGTCCTCCCTTCGTGTATTTTTACCTCCTCCGTCGGGCGACGAGCCTCTGCACCCCGTCCTTATCCCTTCATCACACCCCTCCGTCCATCTCCTCCTATTTAATTAACCCTCCTCTTCTCCTCCTCTTCCTCTCTCTCCATCTACCTCTGAGTCATCTCCCCTCCCCCCTCTCTGTCACACATCTCACCCTCCTCCCCTCCTGTTTTCCTTCTCTCTCTCTCTCTCTTTCTCCCTCTCTCTCTCTCCTGCTCTGCCTCCTCTCCAGTATTGTTCTCGGTTGCCGTGAGAGGCAGAACACACACACACAGGCGGCAGGTAAAGGAAGGAAATCCTCCTTTTCCTCTTTTCCTCTTTTCATCCACTCAAAAAGGTTTTCTTTTTTGTGCTTTTCCATCCGTTACTTTTAATTTTGTTATGATTTCATATTGATTGGCTGCTGCTCAGTGCAGAGAGGCTGCAGAACGATGCTGCTTGTGTGTGAGATAGATTCAGTTATGGATGTTACTGTACGTGTGTGTGTGTGTGTGTGTGTGTGTGTGTGTGTGTGGTTTTGCTTCATGCATTTCATCTGATTTCTTGAAAATCTATGTGTATATTTGTGTGTGACAGGAAAGCATACGTGTGTGTGTGTTTGTGGTTTTGCTTCATGCATTTGATCTGATTTATTGAAAATGTATGTGTCTATATTTGCACGTGACAGGAAAAGCATAGTGTGTGCGTGTATATCATTTGTTTTAGATGTTATTGTGTGTGTGAATGTGATTCTGCTTCATGGCTGTCAAATGTGTGTGTGTGTGTGTGTGTGAGGAAGGAAGAGACGTGTGTGTGTGTGTGTGTGTGTGTTTGTGTGAGAGTGTGATAGGAGGAAGGAAGGGATGTGTGTGTGTGTCTGTGTGTTTTGGCAGTAGAGCATTATATGTGTGTACGAGTGATTCCTGCAGTGAATGTTGGATGGTTTCTTTTCATATGACAGGAACATATGTGTGTGTGTGTGTGTGTGTGTGTGTGTGTGTGTGTGTGTGTGTGT